TTTGCCGTGATTGCGTTTCGGGCTAAATTGACATATATCCGATAAAAATGCACATTTACGCATTCTTGCGTTTGACTAGATCGGCATAGTTTGTAATTCTTTCTAGTTTGTCAAAAAATAGACGATAACCTGTGGCTGCGAAAGAAATCTTAAGCAGTTTCACAATTCGTGTTTCTCTGCCCGATGTCCGTGAACGACCTATCAATCAAATTCAAAATTGCGTGGGAACCTAGATGATACTTTGTAGCAAGTTCCTGTATAAATGTAAACAATGTCGCCGCTGATGTTCTTTCGTCGTTGCGCAGCCTAGCCAAAATAATAAAATGAGGCATGGGCACGAACACGTACGTGAATACGATAACAAAATATTACGACCCGGTAATCGATCCAAGACGCTCTTGCCTGTGAGGTTATGGAAGATAATATTATTAGTAATAATAATAATAAATTTATTACACTACTATGCCATCAGAGGTCGCAGTATAGTAAAGAAAAGAAAATACAAATCATAAAAAATACAGCAGCTAAACTATGATAATACATGTAGGTCAAATCCGTGAACAAATGCGTTTCATTTCACCTGGGTCTGAGATGATGCAAGGACAATCAACATAAATATTATTTGAATATACAGTTCTCTTAGTTATCTGGGGAATGGAGGTAAAAAGAGATCCTTTTCTAGCTCCATGTCTGGGGTAAAATGTGGTTGCTCAGAGACAAAAGATTTACTCTACGCAACGTAATTTATGTAAGGGAATATATTTATTGAACATTGCAGCATAGATCGTGTCACTTTATAATGAACTGTGCATACTAGTATACCCGACTTGAATACGGATTCCAAGAAGCTGCCTTGTCACCGGAAATGAATTGTTTATTTCACTTTACACTTTACACATAAACGAAAGATTAGAACTATCTACATTTAATGAACGATTTACAGTTGCTGTCGTTGAATAATCAGTCAAATTAGAATACTAAGCTCCGCCAAGCCCATGGTTAGTATTCGCCAATAACAGTTCGATGACAATTGTTTGCTTCATTGTTTAATGGTGGAGTTAGTCTGTCTCTTGTTCACTAACAGTCACACACTGTTAACATCTGAACGTGTGAATAATTTTCTGTCATAAATTCAGACAGCCATGGTAAATATTTTATTTTACGTCAGTAAAAATACGTGGTCACGCCTGTAAAAAGGAATTCCCGTGTCACGCGCCGTCGATTACGTGAAAACAATAGAAGGCTTCAAAAGTAGTCACACCTCACAGAGGTGTTAAATTTGCCACAATGGACACGAAAACTACGATGGTTGTTACTGATGTAGTTCGGACACAGAGCACACATTTCCGAGATAAACCATAAACACGAAGTCATAGAATATATGAAGAAATAAAGTACATGTTTTGTGACGAGTTTCTCTATCTCTGTCGTGGCAAGAAGTTTGTTTAA